CCACAAAGAAGAAGAGCGAGTCATCCTCTGTCATGTTGGGGATCTGGAGCAAAAGGGTGGTGAATTCTTTGACATAGTCACGGATGGTCCCCTTTTGCTTCAGCTCCCGCAATTTCCGTCGAGCCTCGTACACCACATTCTCCGGATAAAATTGTCGCTTGAGTTCTTTGACAAAGTCCTCCCATGTGTCTATCTGGCACGTGTCTCGCTCGATATCGCCGTGCTTCCTACGCCAACATAACATAGCAGTATCGAAAATATAAAGGGAAGCAATCTTTACCTTGGTAGCTTCATCCGTGAGACTTATGCCCTCGAAATATTGTTGCATCCTCCATAAGAAGTTGTCAACTTCTTTAGCGTCCCTTACGCCATTGTAGCCTGTCGGCCTCGGACACTCCACCCTTGGTGCGGGCATGGAGTTGCTAGCCTCCCCACTAGCAATCGTCTTCTTACAAACAGTGAGATCCTCACGCATCCCCTTGATGTTTGCTTGGAGATCCTTCACAAGGTCCTCCAAGTGATCCAAGCGGTCCTCCGTGGAGCTTTGTGCATCGAGCCCCTCTTGGACAACACCTTTGACGGACTCGATTTCCTCCAAGACGTGTGTCTCCAACGTTTTGAAGGTGAACTCGACCCTTTCGAGTTTCTCAGTCATTTCCCCAACGACTTGGTCTAACGGTGAGGCCTCTACACGAGCACGGCTTTGGTCCCGACGTTTCTTGTCCTTGGTTCCGGTGATGTGTTTCCGCCCTTGGGTTTACTCTTCGCTTATGCCTAACCCGGACACATTATGTTCCTTCTCTCTTGCCATACTTACACGGTACCGAACTTGATAGCTCTGATACCACTTGACACGCCCTTGTTTCTCAAACTTGGTTGCGTGCGGCCTTAGCCCCTTGTGTGCCCTTCGCAACTAGCTAAGTCAGCCTCACCTTGTTCAAGATCGTGCTCGGTGTGTGCAAGTACTTTGGCTAGAGAAAGTGGGAAAATATATTTAAGAGAACTTGAAGGGAAAATGCTTGTATTACTTGAGTACAAGAAAGCTCTCAAATGCTTGGATGATTTGCAAATGAGGGGGTCTCCTCTATTTATAGGTACCACCTCCTCTAAAGAAGTCTCTAGATCCTACAAGGGTCTTGGTCTTTCTAGACCCTTCCACACAAATCATACTCTTTCTACACATGTCCTAGAACCTTCTACCAAACTGAAGATGATTCTTGCCCTTTTTACCAGTTTCTACAAGGTTCTAGGATGTTCTTGTCCCTACTAGAAATATCTACCTAATTCTGGAGCCTTCTAGAAGCTTCCAGGCAAGTCTAGGCCTTTCTAAAGGCTTCCATATACCAATAACTAGGCTTAGCGCGAAAAAAAGACAGACAAAACTCGTTCTTGCTCGTGTGCGTGCGGGGAGTGATGCGGGGCATTACACTAAGCTTTGTTTGGTGTTTAGAAATAATACAAGAGAATCCAAATTCATTTGTATAGTTTCTTAAAGAAAGAAAAAAAAATTATACTATTTACTGTATAATAATATTCTAATAAAATTTATATTTAAGTAGGTTTTTAAAAATATGCTGTACTTTTCATCTCTGTTTTCTTATTCCTGCAAATAAAGCATTTTGTACTCACGTTATGAAAAATATACCCACCCGTGTTTTTGAAAAACATTTATACTCACACCGTTTTGATATATTCCATTTAGAATAACATCAATTTTAAAGTTATTGGTTATATTAATTGTTATGATTAAATAGTTTTTTAATAAAATAAAGTTTTTATGTAATCTGAATTGGTTAAAATTTTTAATAAAATTATAAGAATCAAATATATCTGAGAAAAAAAGTTTTATAATTTACAGAAAAACGACAAATATTTGACGATAAAGAAATTGATGAATTCTGCGCTGTAATAAATAAATATAATAAATAAATATTTGACGATAAACCAACACTGTCAGGAACAAAGACGCATGTGCAATGACGGAGAAACGCACGCTCCAATCCAAAGTAGGTAGGTACTGGAACACGCACACTGTTACTACCCGCTCATTAGTTAAATAATTAATTAGTCAAAACAAAATCAATATTATATATAACTAAATTTCTTTTTTATAATCGATTATAAAAAGAAAGAAAAAAATATCTTATATATAATATAGCATGATTTATATAATAAATATATAATATATTTAAAAAAATAAATTAAAGATGAACAAAAAAAATATAATAAATATTTTTAAACAATTAATAATATAAAAATATATAAAACAATTGAAGTGTCGTTGTGCTTAACTAATTAATTTTCAAGTACAATCCACTTATTATTTTATGAAAGCTGACTTTTTGTTTGTATCTTATTTATTGGAGTCCTATTTTCTTTTCTGTAGTCGTATAAACATTTATGTATGTAATATTTGGGGACATTGTATGATTTAAATATTAATAATGTTTATTTTTAGTATTGAATCAATTATGTTATAAAAACAAATTGCTGGTAATCCTTACTGTCCTACATATGGATATTAAACTACAGTGGTGAAACAAATATAGTAAAATTTGTCATGTAAATTATGAAGTGATAAAATCATATTTAAATTTTTTTATATAATTACTATGATAAATATAAAATAAATAAAATTTATTAAGTTTGTGAAATTCTACATGCATAACTATATACTCCATGTTCTGTTTCTTGTGCTACAAGATTGTCAATTGTTCATGGAATATTCGATGTAATATTCTTATTTGATTCTACATATTTATTCCTTTTTAAGAGGAGATGTGTCTTTATCCAGAAAGTTAATTTTTTTTATTAATATTATTATTATTATTCCTTTTTACAAATTAAAATGTTAAAATTAACTTATCATAATAAGATGAATAAAAATAAACAATAAAACGGGATTTTTCTTATTGAACTGCGTTCACCATTAAAAAGAAAACAAACAAAACAAATTGCTAAATGCCTGAAAAATGCGGGGTTCGCTTCTCTTGCTCACCAAGTAAACTGAACCGCAAGACAAAAAGGAAAGCGTTTGACCATACCAATCAAATCACCATGCTTCAGATTTTTTATTTTTTTTATCATACAAAAATAATTTCTAATCATTTACAAACACATTTTAAATACTAAGCTTTTTTTATTTAATGCATAGATTAACATTTGTTTTATTTATATTTGCTTGCACAATTGTCTTTATTGAATACTTTTTCTAATATATGTAAATTCTAACCCTATATATATATATATATATATATATATATATATATATATTAGTTTATTGTTAAATTTGATATTAAAGTAGTTCATAAAATTTAAAAACCAGTAGGTTGAGAGCTTCTTCGCGAAGTGTGTTCACGTGACTTGCAAATGTGATAATGCATGCATCCACCAAATAATTCTGGTGAGAGGGGTTTGTTTGATAGAATAATTTGTTATTTTTTTTTTTAATATATAAGTGACAATGTATATTTCTGTCTTTGTTACAAAATTAAAAGCAATTTTTAATATGTTTTATTCTTTTAAAAAAAGTTGCATTTCTTTATTATAAAATTTTTATTTGTGTTAAAGGGCTAATAAGATATATTATTATGAGTAAAAATATTTTGTCTACATACAAATAATTTTAAGGAAAATAATAAAATCAAAAGTAAATACTATATTTCACTCATTAAAATGAAACAAAAAGTAATAATTAAGTATACAACATATAATACTATTATTTATATATATATATATATTCTCACGTGCATTTTTATCATGATAGTGCAATTTTAAATTCAAATTATTATTTTTAAGTAATTTAAAAAAATTAAATTAGTTTTACTTGATAGCAAGACTTCGTAAAGAAATTTATATTATCAAAATATGATTTTATTTTTTTATAATTAAGAAAAACGAGGTAGCATAATTTTTTTATAATATCATGTATTAAGCACAACTTATCAATTTATATAAATATTTTAAAATTATTTTAAATTAGTAATTGAATTTAAATTATACTATTTTTATAATTTTGCCACATTTTTAAAAGTTATATTATATAAAAAAACTTTCTGTAAGATTAATTTCACAACAAATAGTAATTAAATAAAATGTGTAGAGAACTAAAATTGTGACAGAATAAGAGTAATATGTAATTAATTGATTTTATGATAATAAATTAAAAGCTTTTAATGTATAAAATGATTTCTATATTTGTTCCCCACAAGTATTTATTTAGAACTAGTCTTATTGGAAGCCAAGACATACTCTATGTTTAGATTAAAGTTTGTAAATTTTAATTTAAGTTAAACTTAAATTTACAAACTGAATTTTCTATAATAACCAAGTTTTGGTTTTCTGAAATTAACTCTCCAGTAAAAAAAATAAAATGTAATGATACTTTTTAAAATAATTATTTATTCCATCTCGAATTAAATATAAATAAAAGAAAAACAGATATATTTGGCTATTTGAATTTAAATCAGGCCAATTATATTTAATGTTATTGTTAAAAAATAAAACTGTATTTAATACACACCATTCTAATAAATGTAAGTGGAGATAATTAAAAATAATATTGTTAAATAAATTTAACAATGATTGTTAATCGATATGAAAATTAATTAATCATAGGTATATTTAACTTCACCAATCTCTAAAACTGGATTCATACTATGCTAAAAACACCTATTTTTCAAAAAATCTTATGAGAAAATATTCAATTTTTATTCATAATAAAAGTTGAACCTGTCAATCAAGTAAGTTGAAAACCTAATATAAAATTAATTTACAATATACATAGAAATTTAAATAAAATGAATAATCAAGGTGTTCAAATGTTTTTTTTCCTCTTTGAGTGACATGTGAGTAAACCAGACATCACAGGAAGTTTAAGCTTCTTAAACCTAAAAGTGATTTGGGGGCTATAAATAAACCCAAACACTTGTCTGGCCTCCTCAAACTCGCCACATCTTCTTCCCAACTACTCACTTCAGATCTCAAGCTCATCGCTATTCATGGCCACCATCACAACCATCAAGGCCCGTCAGATCTTTGACAGTCGTGGCAATCCAACCGTCGAGGTCCGCTTCCCTCCTTCTCCTTTCCCATTTCGATACTTTCAATGTTTCTGTACCATTTTCACTTTTTCGCTTATTTTTTCTGTTATTACAATTTCATCGGTGTTTATGGATGAATTTTATTTCTATGACTGAATTTGAGTCTGATGAGATAGAGTGTTGCTTTATTATTATAAAAAATTTTCTGATGTGATGGATGGTTGCTATTATAGGTTGATTTGACATGTTCCAATGGCACTTTTGTTAGAGCTGCTGTTCCAAGCGGTGCATCCACTGGTACAGTTCACTCATTTCTCTCAATTTTTAGCAGATTCTATTTACTATTTTTTTTTCAATAGAATTTAGATACTTTTTCACATACCTACAGCCCATGTATTGTAGGTGGCTTGCTTGTTCGAATTAAACGGTGAAACCTCATTTTTTTTTTTTTTTTAATTTAAAGGGATTTACGAGGCACTTGAATTGAGAGATGGAGGATCCGACTACCTTGGAAAGGGTGTATCAAAGGTAAGTCTTGTGTTAGCATACCAAATAGCGTGAAGGGTTGTCTTGGTAGATTGATCTATACGTGTGATTTTTACCTGGTCTTTTCTTGCACATTCAGGCTGTTGGCAATGTGAACAGCGTTATTGCCCCTGCATTGATTGGCAAGGTTGGTTCAATTTATTTTACAAGTTTCAATAATGTTGTTGCTAAAGAAACTTTTGCATAAGTTAGTACTTGCTCGGTCTGCGGCTAATATTATAGTTCAGTTCATTTGAAACTGTAACATGGAAGTTCAGTTCTATTGCTAAAAAGGTTATGTAGCTTGATTTAATTTTTATTTTGCTATTTTGTGACAATGAGCAGGACCCAACTCAGCAGACAGCTATTGACAACTTTATGGTTCAACAGCTTGATGGAACTGTTAACGAATGGGGTTGGTGCAAAGAGAAGGTACTTAGCTAAGTATATTTGGAAATTTGCAATTTTTTATGCGATTCATATAATTCTAATGCAATTTTCGTTCTTGTTTTAGCTTGGAGCAAATGCCATATTGGCAGTGTCTCTTGCAGTCTGCAAAGCTGGTGCCAGCGTCCTGAAAATTCCTCTTTACAAGGTAATTTGTGAACTGTGCTACGTAATTATCTTCGATGAAACTGGTACTTCAGATCCATGTTGTGTATTGAAGCTGTCCTAAAAGTTTGTATAAATATGTGATAAGTCTAAAGAGAAAATAAAATATCTGGTACCTTGATAGCTTGTTTATAATCATCTAAATTTTATGAAATTTGGTGTTCAAGATCAACCAGATAACTAGGTATTGTTTTACGCTCAATTGTTTACAAAATCATTCTCTTACAATTATTGGATTGTGGTTTTCTGTTGTTTTCATATATCTGACATTGCATTCCATTCTTTTGGTGCAGCACATTGCAAATCTTGCTGGTAACAAAAAGTTGGTTTTGCCTGTTCCTGCTTTCAATGTCATTAATGGTGGATCACATGCTGGAAACAAACTTGCTATGCAGGCATAATTTCAAAGACCTTTTTCTGTCTATGTGTGAGAGATTAAGCAAGACAAGTTTCTGATATTTATGTAATGCTATGTATGTGCAGGAGTTTATGGTTCTTCCCGTGGGAGCTTCCTCTTTCAAAGAAGCCATGAAGATGGGCGTAGAAGTATATCACAATTTGAAGGTCAGTTTGCATGTTACATTCATTTACTACTTTCGACATGTATTTTTAATTTTTTTTTCAAACAAGGATATCGTTAATGTAATAGTAACCATTTTAAAGTTATCATTGGCTGTTAGGCATGGTGTTTGTCTGTAAATGCTTCCATGCTTTGATGGTTTGTCAACTTGATTGTAGACATGTACTACTATCTCAGTTATTAACAAGGGGCTATGCTAATTTTATTTCAGTCTGTGATTAAGAAGAAATACGGTCAAGATGCAGTAAATGTTGGTGACGAAGGTGGCTTTGCCCCTAACATTCAGGTCAATGATGATTTCTAAATTGTTTCTTTATATGGATGGAACTCATACCTGCTCATTCTTTTGGTCAGTAACTGATAAGCTCTTTTGAGTGTTCAGGAAAACAAGGAGGGTTTGGAATTGCTCAAAACTGCCATTGCCAAAGCTGGCTACACAGGAAAAGTATTTTTCTCTCATCAAAATTCTGTTTATGGCTTTGGATTTTCAGGTGTCTTCTTTTTCTAGAGACTTGACAATTGCAATTATGTTCTCAGGTTGTCATTGGAATGGATGTTGCAGCTTCTGAATTCTACAAGGAAGACAAAACATACGATTTGAACTTCAAGGAAGATGTGAGAATAATCCCCAATTAAAAAGAAACATGCATAGCAAAGATAGTCGGACATTCATTGGAAACAACATTAAAGAAACCAGTCTAAACACTAAAAAAGAGCAAAGGGAAATGTAAAAATAGAGTAGACTGCAAGGGTCTTCCAACCATGCCATCCCGAAGGGCCTCATAACCTTCTCCCAATGTCTGCTTACTTCTGCTTTATCATTTCACTTCCATATTCTAATTTACAAATACATCATTTTAATTGAAAATAATTATATTGACAACAAATGGTATAAGCTTGTTATTGAAAAGGCTTAAGAATTTGATTGCAGTTTACTTTCCTGCTTAAGAATGGATGACTGTACGAAGATATCTTATATTTAATACTCATACTGATACAATTATTGCATATTTAGATTTAGATTACTTATTTCTTGGCCTTTTCTGTTTGTCCTGTAGAACAACGATGGCTCACAGAAGATCTCTGGAGATGCTTTGAAAGATCTCTACAAGTCATTTGTGTCAGAGTACCCAATTGTGTCAATTGAGGATCCTTTTGACCAGGATGACTGGGAGCACTACGCCAAGCTGACTGCCGAGGTTGGAACCAATGTACAAATTGTTGGTGATGATCTATTGGTTACCAACCCCAAGGTTTGTTGTTTGATCAAACAAAACTTCCAAAGATGTTTTTATTCTGTCGGATATCCCGTAAGGATTTTCCTTTGACTTTTTACTTTTTGCATTGTTGTCCACAGAGGGTTCAGAAGGCAATTGATATAAAAGCATGCAATGCTCTCCTCCTGAAGGTACTCCTATTCTATTCATAAAAATTTCTTGTGAAAAGTCGTTTGAGCTAAGTAGATGTCTATATACACCATAACACAAACCTGAAATTAACAGGTCAACCAAATTGGTACGGTGACCGAGAGTATTGAAGCTGTTAGGATGTCCAAACAAGCTGGATGGGGTGTCATGGCCAGTCACAGAAGGTTTGGATCTGTCTTTAAATCCTATAATACAACTGTAAGATCTTTCGTAGGTTTGGCCAATCGCAGATGACAGCTGTGAAATACACAACAAATCATACTGCCATAAGATCTTTGAAAGTATCCAACTACATTCTATATACTTACATTCTTATACTTGGTTGCAGTGGAGAAACCGAGGATACCTTCATTGCTGACCTTTCTGTTGGTTTGGCAACGGTATTGCCTTGTTTCATTAAATTTTTGTGTTATTACCACCCAATGGTGAAGTCCAACATATTAATGTTTCCTTTTCTTGAACAGGGTCAAATTAAGACTGGAGCCCCATGCAGGTCAGAGCGTCTTGCTAAATATAACCAGGTTAGTGTTGTTCATTCCTTACACTCTAGTTTCAGTTTTGATCGTTAAGCATATTTTCTAAATGTGTTTACACTCTTGGCAGCTCTTGAGAATTGAGGAGGAGCTTGGTGCTGAAGCAGTGTATGCTGGAGCTAACTTCCGCACCCCGGTTGAACCCTACTAAAATTTTGACGCGGAAAACCTGGAGACCCAGAGTTTGAGCAACGTGATTTGGCTGTGCGGTTTCAGTTATGATGAATAAGTTGTTAGTTAGAACATTAGTCAGTATAAAGACCTTGCCAATAAGTTTTGAGTTCTGATTCACAGAGCTATGACAGTTCTGTGACTTTTAAAAGGTGTTTTTAATGATATTTAGCTTTGATACTTGAAGCCTACTTTCAGTTTAGTTCCAATTTATGGGTTATATCCTCAAATGCTTCATACACTTTGCTACGTTAATAGTTTCCCTTAATCCGTGATAGTTTCCCTTGATCCGTGATAGTCCCAATACTACGATGTGTATCAATGCCCTTGTGTCCCTAATAGAAATCATGCTTGCAAGTAATCGTGGTAGAATTGAACACATGATACCTGGACAGTATTGTTTATTATCATCAGCTAATTTATATGAAGCCATGCCAAGCCGAAGGATGTTGACACACTTGCTGTGTCAAATTCTTATAGATCTGTAATAAAGTCGTGGGATGTTATAATGGTTTCCCAGAATCTGTTTTCAAATCTTTGCGGTCCATTGATGATGAGCTGAAGACTCCCTGGGGCGCGTTACTTGGAAAGTGTTGCCCAGAGTCTCCAAATTAGAACAGGAAAGTTTCCACTGAAAAAAGAAAAAGGCAATTTAAAACTGATGACTAGACCATTTGGAACTGTAGTTCAACTCGGCCATTAAACCCAGTCCACAATGTAATTGGATAGGATCTGGCCATAAAAAAACATGTCTAACGCAAAAATAATGAACACAACTGCAAAACACAGTTAATAACAGAAAAATGACAAACTATACATATAAAATGCAAAAAAACTATTTTAACAAAGATCATATTAGAGGCACAACCTAATTTAACTCCACCTTTTCAACAAAATAAAATATTGACACACTAACTTCAAAAATTTATTTAGGAACTAATTTTTCAACTAGAAGCCCCTTGTAACCAACTAAATTAGAAGCAATTACTATCATCGACATTAACTAAAGAAAAAGTGTATCCCAGGTGGGGTGGTTGTGCATCGGTGCGGGTTGGTGACGCAGCAGGATGATACAACAACCTAAAATTATGCAACGGGGTACAAGTATGGTAGTCTGGCTGAACAGTAGGCGGATGCATCATGGACATGCCTCGCAGAGAGTGGGAGTTTGAATGATGAGAGTGACACCTGGGCGAGTGCAGTCAAAATTTAAAACTTTTATACTTTGACACTTTTCCATCACCTCTATAGTTTCTTCTTACATTTCCTTACCCTAATTAAAATAACTAAAATATCTTTTTAATAATTTCTTTTTTCATATCTTAATTCCTTTTTCTATTTTCCTATAAAAGTTTTACAACTATCTTCTACACCTCGGTAAATATAGAGATTTGGTTTCTTAAGTTCTCACTTTTATTTAAGATCATTTTCAACACTTAAATGTGAGTAATAATTAATATCATGTATCTATTTCATATTTCTGCACTAAAATTGCACGCTGAGACCTAAAAAATTATTTGGAATAATTTTGTAAAAATTGGATTGAGTTTTGGAATATCATATCTGAAATGTATTTCAAAAACTCATTCCGGAATACTCATCCTGTAATTCATATCTGGAAAAAGCAATCCGGAAATATATTTCAGATTCAGTGTTTTAGAATACATTTTAGAAAATTCGATTTGAAAATACATTTTGAAAAAAATTTCTAAAATATATTTGGATTGACTTTTCCATAAACATATTTTGGAACATTCAATCTAAAATGTATTTTCGGATAAATTTTGTTTGAAATACATTTAAAAACACCTATTTTAGATTGTGTTTATAGAAAAGTCAATTAAAAAATATATTCTAAAAAAATATTTAAAGAAACATGTTCTAGAAAGTGAATTCCAAAATTGATCTTCCAAAAATATATTTCGGATTCATGGGTTTGGAACACACTTTTTGATTGTGTAATCTGAAATTATGGAGATGAAAGATAGGTACATAGGTATAATAGGGTTTAATTTAATTATGGGAGTGTTGGAAGAAATTGACTTATTTTTACTTGTACTTGTGATAGTAAGCAGTCCAATCCATTTAGGTGGGTTGTATAAATTAATTCTTTATGAAAATTAGTAATTTTAAGCCGATTAAGCTTGAAACACATGGTGGGCTGAATTAGCCCATCACGTTAGCAACATATTTGCTACAGATAAAAAAACAATGGTGTTTGGTAAAAAAAATATTATTAGTCTTAAGTCATGATCTATAGAGTGAGGTAGTGGTAAGGGAAGAATTGACTATATTTCTCATCCAAACAAATATTTTTGTCCACGAATGAATAATAAGCCTCTGTGAGAACTAACATTCTCTTTATACAGCTGATATAGCTATACAAGATAAAATAAACAAGAACATATGTGTATTAAAATACGGAAAGATTGCGTATATTTGTTCAAATTAAGTTAAAATTTATGAATTTTTTTATTTTTATGAATTAATTATATATATTTTTTCTAATAAAGTAGGGGAATTTGTAGGATATTTATTTATTCTAATTTGAAAAAGTTCTGAGAAGTTATTAACTCAACCCTATTCCTCTCTATTTCTAATAAAATATGCAAACAAAGGACTGAAACAAATGTTAATCATCTTTTAGAATAATACTGTTTACAATTGAACATGACAGAGTTTGCATATTTTTGGAACACAAATAAGTTTTGTAACATCAACTTCCACTATTTATTTATCCAGACAATTCGTAAGTCCAATAGAATTTAATGCTCCAGCCCAATATAAACCCATTATACACTTCGGTTCACCATATTTATTTTGATGAGATGAAAAAAGTAATAAAAAAAATGTTTTTTATAATTAAATATATTTTATTGATTCAAGGGGGTAAAGAAATTGCTTTTCCTTAAATAGGGTTTAAAGAGGAACGTTCTGAATAAGAAAAAAAGGTGTCCAAGATAAAATATTGTTTTCTTAAACAGGTCTACCTAATTCAACTCAAATTAGCTTAAATTAAATTAAAAATACACAAGAAAGATACTATTCAAGAAATAAAAAAGAATGATTAAAAAAAATATGACATTTAAATGTCATAAGTATATTTCACTGCAATTTCAAATAAAAATATTATATATCTATTACGTGGAGTGTGTGTGAAGGCCCAAACACATTGACACATTTGAACCTTTTTTACAATGAGAAACTTAATCAATGCCACTCTTCATGGGGAAAAACATTTTTTTTTAGAAAAAAAATAGAAGAGATTTCCAGTTTCAGCAAATCTTAGAAATGACTCTCCATGGGAAAAAACATTTTTTTTAGAGAAAAAAAAAAGAGAGAGATTTTCCAGTTCCAGCAAATCTTATAAATGGTTCAAAATGTCCGGACAATTTTCAGTTTTGGTCAAACGAGTATTTGTATAATAAAAGCTGTCTCTATAATAATCCTGGATGAAACAAACAAATGAGTAACAATAAAAACATATTTTTTAAAATGTTAAATATTAATCAGAATAGAGCTAAAAAATGAAAACTATGAAATATTATCAAAATTGAATTATATATCTATATATATATATATATATTTTTTTTTTTACTTTTTAAAAAGTCTAATCTTATGTGTAACAAGAAAACACGCAAATCAACTGGTAAAAAATAGTTTAACTGAAGTACAAATTTCGAATTATTATTTTTTAGAGTAAAGGAAAACAAATTAATGAATTAATTAGAAAAAGAGAGGAGAGAGGAGTGTGTGTACGAAGTGAGTGTATAAAAGGATAGAGATAGCGGAGTGAGGGAAAAAAAATAAAAATAAAGAAGCGAAAGCGAAACCCTAACCCTAACGGAGAAATGGCGGAGCACTTGGCATCGATATTCGGGACGGAGAAGGACAGGGTGAACTGTCCGTTCTACTTCAAGATCGGCGCTTGCAGGCACGGCGACCGGTGTTCTCGGCTCCACACGAAGCCCACAATTAGCCCAACGTTGGTTCTGTCGAACATGTACCAGAGGCCCGACATGAACATGAACATCATCACCAACCCCAATCAGCCCCAACCCCAATCCCTCGACCCTGACAAGGTCCAGGATCACTTCGACGACTTCTACGAAGATCTATTCGAGGAGCTTAGCAAGTACGGGCCCATTCAGAGCTTGAATATCTGCGACAATCTCGCCGATCACATGGTCTCTCTCAAAATCCCCCATTCTCTCTCTATCTCGTTTAAAAAAAAAAAAATTCGACTTGGATCGTTTATTTGTTTTTTCGGTTTTTTTGTGCAGGTTGGGAATGTGTACGTTCAGTTCCGGGAAGAAGATCATGCTGCTAACGCCCTCATGAATCTCACTGGGAGATTTTATTCAGGTCCTTCATTTGCCTTTTCACTTCCCCTCGGTTGGGGATTTTACCTTTTCGCTTCATGTGTTCTCATTTATTTGTGGTTTTTATTCTGTTGTGCGTGTCGAGAGTTGTTACGAATGTAAAGTAATTGTCTGGAGGTTGCTATGTGTAAGGTATCGATATGTAAGCCATTTTTCGATTTTTTTTTTCTTTTGTACAAGAAATGTTAGTATTCATGTTACCATCGAACCGGTTAATTAACTAGCGGGGAGTTGTTGTAGATTGATTAATGGTCCCAAATTCAAGTTCTGGATATGAAGCTACAATCTAGGTATAAAGTCGTGTTAAACGGAGAGGTTTGCCACTCGTAATGGTCCTTTATGTTACAAATAGGATTACCTCCTGTGAGAATACATGTGTTCTTTTGCAAAATAAAATTATATTTTTTTGGTTAAAATATTGGAGATATACTGGTTGAGTTTTAGCCCTTTTACCTTGCGGTATCCGATTTTCTTTGCCTGTCTTAGTTGCGCTGGGGGTCTTGGGCTTTATTTGATGAACATTGATTTTGACGTGGTACCTTGTGCTCAGTCACATGGCTGTTTTTTATTTTTATTCAATTTATCTTCCTAATGTCTAGTATTGACTTTACTGATTTTTTATTAAGTTAGTATCAAGATTAGGTTGCTATGTCCTTTATATATTTAGGTTTGGTGGCTATGCACGCTTACATAATCATTGAACAACTAGTGTTGGAGATCCTATATTGTTTAGAGATAGGACTAATTGATGTATGAAATTGGAGATTTCTTAGTTTTATCAAGTCACCTGTAATTGGACCACCAACAATGTATAATCCTGCAAATTTCGTGCTCAGGATGTCTAGTCCTTGGCTTGGATTATGTTGGAGATCCTACATTGTCCGTCTTGTGATATGACCAAATTAAAGTATAGATTTGGGGGACTCCTTCATTTTATAAGCCAATTTTGTGAAGTTGTTACCTGTTTTAAAGTTTTTTTTTCCCACTCTATGATTTATACTCTTGCATCGTCCATAACTTACTCATACTATTGCATTGAGTTTTGATTTACACCAGATAGGATAAATGTGTGGAATAATTCTTATTTTGTGATTTCACTAAGCTTTTTGATGATTACAACCGGACATAATCATAATCACATGAAAAAATCTTTTTGGGTATCTAGTAAGGAAATGCTGTACAGATTCTTTAGCTGTAAGCCCAACTTATAACTTACTGATCATTGTAGGCCGCCCCATCATTGTTGATTTTTCTCCTGTTACTGATTTTCGAGAAGCTACTTGTAGACAGTATGAGGAGAATGTGTGCAATCGAGGTGGCTACTGCAACTTTATGCACTTAAAGAAAATTAGCAGGTTGGCTTGTCATCTTAATTCTCATGCTTTTCAAGATCTTAAACTTGCATTTATAGTTTGTTGTTCTTAGGTTAAACCCCACTCTTATAATTTCAGGGATTTGAGAAGAAAATTATTTGGAAGAAATAGGCGATGGAATGGCCGCAGTGGAAGCAGAAGCAGGAGCCCTCCAAGGAATCGTAACCATGGGGAACACTCACATTCTGGCCGTAATCCTGGTAGAAGAGATTTTGACAGGCCCCATGGCCACCATGGTCGGAGGCCTAGAAGCCGTAGTCCTCGATATAGAGGAGGAAAACGAAGTAGAAGCCCAGTGGGGAGGGATAGAAGTCCGATCCGTGAAAGCAGCGCGGAAAGGAGAGCTAAGATAGAGCAATGGAACAGGGAGAAAGAACAAGAGGAGACAGGTAACAAGAACAGTACGAAAAGCAATGATTACCAAGAACAGAGTGGTGCACAAAATGGCAGTGAATCTGGTAACCATCAGATATAGCAACAGTAATGTAGTGCTTTGGCCAGAATGGTAGTAAGTGTGGCAAGTAATCTGTTTTGTGTTGTTTGCACCTTCTTAGATGGATTTAGTTGCCATTTTTATTATTCTATTTGGAATTGTCAATTTAGTGATAGTACTTTGTAATATCCATAGCAACAACAGTACAATTTTCTGTTTCAATTGTAATGTTCTGCATCTTGAGGGGAGGAAGAAAAATGGGAAAAGTGGCAAGTTTAACTTGTTGCGAGGATGAAGCGATACATTTGATAAAGTTCAACTATGAATGTTTCATATTCTGTTATTGAGCATTGTTGGATGCTACTACCTAGTCGAGGGTTTTTAGATGGAAAATAGATTGAAGATGTATGAATTTCATTGTGAATAGCTATAGATTTTTTAAATAAATGCGTTACCAAGTTTTTACTTGCTCAAAATAGTATTTTGTCTCTAGAATGCATGTGCAGATGTGCCATCCGGTGCGGGGATTCTTTGATGAGCCACTACAAAACTAAGAGCAGTGCATGCTAAGTATTTTTTATAAATAGTACAAACATGGGGCTTTTTTCTTTTTATTTTAGAAAGAAAAATACTTAATCTTTAATTGATTTGATGATTTTTTGCTTTACAAGACGTCATAATTTTTTAAATAAATATGGTTTTATATTCGCTAAGTAATACTCAATCTTGTAGCACGTCAGTTAACATTATTTCTAAGAAATATTAATAAGATAGTCTTCTCAACATTTTTTTATTGCTTGGAATTTATTTTAATTGTATGATTGTTTTGGATATTATTCATAAATTCAATGTTAGAATATAACTTTGATCTCTCAAATATGAAATAAGTTAACTTTTTTAATGTAAAAAGTTTAGTTGTACTTTTAAATTTAAGTTTGCTTTATTTTCTGTAGATTTTGTAAGTATTTAAATTCACTTATTCAAGCGTCTTTTTTCAAAATAAATAAAGATTTTGCAATTGATAGTTTGTAATCAAAATTTTTAACCGTAATTTTGTAATGGAATCATAACATAGTTAAATTTGGATAATATATATCATCATAAATAATAAAAAACAATAAAATAATATTTTTAACATTTTTTTATTTTTTATTTTTTAACGTTATCTTTCGTTTATGAAATCACTATTTCATTTCATTTTATGGTTTCATTCTTACATTTTTATTTTTAATTATTTGTAAATAAGTTTCTTTTGCAATATGATATTTTTTTTTATAGAACCTCTTATTTGTAGTGACAATATTTTCATTTAGTTCTTAAGATAACGAATTACTTTCTTAATTTCATCTCATTATATTTAATTTACAAGATGAATTAGTTTTTTTTCTCAGTTAATATTATATACCTGTAATACTTTATAATTGAAGAACGAGTTAAAAAAAAAAAAAAACATGGGTGCATGCAACCTTCCTAGATTTTGAACCTTTGTTTTGTTTTATTAAAATATTTACAAAATACATTAGATATCATTCTATCTTTGGATATTTTCTTTGGCTCTTCGACCATAAGAGCTTGTCTACTAACCAATTTCGAGTACAACGTCATTTATCGCCTGATCCTCCTAGGTGGTGGAACTGACAGTAAACGGTTATTCATTTATCATTGCACTAAGGTCCAACCACTACGCAATTTATTTCAGATTGATGATGGTCTTTTTGGCGAGCATTAAGGATAGCGTGCAATGGGTTCGTTGGTTTCCTCAATTGGAGAATGTTTCCTGCTGGTATTAATGGAAATCTGGAAATTATGAGGTTTTTGAGGATAAATCAGATTCGGGTTACCATAACTTGGTTGCCAATAATCCATATGCAAGCCTCCTACAAATCACGCTAGCAGACTGGTTCAGTTGATACCCCTCCACTCACCTTGGGCAATAAAGGCAAGTCAGGTTTGGTGGAGTGATTAGAGATTGATTCATCCATATGCTCATTTGCGGGTTACTGTGGAGTCACAACTAACATTTGTAGCAATTATATGCCATTTACAAGGCTCACACCAATTTGCATGACATTGTTGTGTTTGTTTTCTTTTTCTGCTGTCATTTATTTTCAGATGCATAAAAAAAAGTATGTGCTAGACATATTACTTCAAACTTAAAAGTAATATAAAATATAAAATATTTAGACGAAAGGATTTTATAAAGTATTTCCAAGATACTTTTTTCATTTTATTTATCTGTCCGCTATTCTTTTCAAAAAATGTTATGATTCCTTACGAAAATTTCATATATTACTACTAGGGTTTATCAAATAAATTATGAAATAACCTTTCAAATATTTGAATTTGTCATTTTATATGAGGTGTATTTCTTTTATTAATTACTTTGTAAGACTTGTGCATCATTAGTATATGAAACAATTTGCAAATATATAAATTAACTTATACCTTGAAATTTTAGGAAGAAAATCGTGTAAGCGGTGCAGGGCAGGATTTTTTACACATTCAAGAAATAAATAAAAAAAGGTCATGGAAACAAAACTCAGCCCTTAAAAAATATAACATCCAAATGTTCCAATAAACAAAGCACAACACAGTTTATAGAAACTAATATATCTCAATTATTTCAAAACAGTCATTTTATGATTTGGTTAAAGATTGGCCATATTAATAATTAAAATAAATCCCTATTCACTTCGTTAGGAACATGAGTTGCAGGGAGTATTTCCGCATTTCATCGCAAAGACACTATATGAAGGACTCCGTTGAAAGTAGCACAACATAGGATAAGGTCAAAAGGTCAGTTACCACAAACCCACCAAAATAGAAAACTTGAGAGTCGTTCTCAAGTTGATCGAACCAAGTAGAAAAACAAAAATAATTAAACCAGGTTTTCTACATCAACTAAACTGTTTTTTCATGATCATCCAAATATGGCTCCGACAAAAAAGCAAAATTTTACTTAGCACTGTGCTTGGCCTTATTATGAGAGTTTAACGCATCTTCTGTCTTGAATGACCTGCAAGCCAATTTAAATATTATGCATGAATTGATATTCATGATTACTTGGAAAAAATAAATAAGGAAAAGATGGAGGAAAATCAAATATAAAGATGTTGTCAATCACCTGCTGCAAGGCTTACAGCTGTAATCTCCCCCTGACTTCGGAGTCTGCTGCTTGGTATTTGCAGTTGCTTTACCAGCCTGCTTGGAAGGGTGAGGAGTTCCAACATGGACAACATTCTTGCTATCTGAACATGTCATAAATTCTCATCAATGTCATTTCAGTTTTACTGTGGTCACATAGAACATGCACAGAGAAGTAAAGGAATCAAACATGGTTAAACTAGCAGTCTGGATTTTGTAAATTTACGAGCTAAGCTACCTGTGCTAAGATCCAACTTAGGAGAACAAAGGTAATAAGGATCAGATTCTAGACCACTTCGTGACATAATATTCTAAAAGCTTACACGATTAGATGAAGGCACATAGTATTTTATATAACATCTCTCCCACATGAACATTGAAAGTTCTTCTAATTGTGACCCTTCAACATTTCCATTACTCCAGTTCCTATTTTTTACAAGGTAGAAGAACTCCTGTTTCACGATAGCTTTGGAGGTGTTTCTGATACTTTCCATTACTTCAACCATCAGCTTGAAACTTTTTGAATGCACCATATAGAGAGTATTCCATTCTTATAAAATATAAAACTATACTAAACATTCCTACCCCTTGCTTCTTTATCACAATTGTTAAGTTACAAGAAGATATTATTAGCTTTACGGGCAAGTAAAAAAAATTGATGAACCACTTAACCTACATTGTAATATAATTCATAATTTATTGTTTAACCTGACTCTATATTAGGTAAATGGACTACTGTATCAATTTTAGTTTGATTGAAAATTAAAAAAAAAATATTAACATGTCTATATTAAAATACATAATTAAAAAACTAAAAAACATATTTATAAAATTTAAGTTATATTAAGGAAATTAATTTTTATTTCAGATATAATGATTTAATATATCAATTACAACAAATGAGATCCATTCACTCTCAAATAAGAATTAAAAACTTCCTATTTATTATCATTATTCTTTTTTTAGTCTAATGACCTAAAATAATAATTCATCTCAATTATTAAATCTTGGAATAAATGGATATTAAAGACTTCCTCTTAGAATATGTTGATACCTTATAAAAATATATTACATATATTTTTTGATAAAATAATATTACTTTTATTTAAAAATAATTATTATTTTATAAAACAGATTCCTCTATGAGCCTATGAGCCAGTCACGTTAAAATTGATCTGATTTAATTTAAGTCACAATTTTTTTATTTAACTTAACCTACTTTTCGAACTATTTGACTCAACCCATTGGGTTAAATCTATTTTGACACTCCTAAATATTATTGAATAGTGTAATGGCTGCTATTGAGATATTGTAGGGTTACAAAGAGTTTTTATTAATTATTATAATTATTTCTAGTGTGATAGAGTTCTATTATAGAACATGGAGGCTGGAGGTAGTCTCCTTATTACCTACATTCAGCGAACCCTGGAGCGATTCTATCACCATAATAATGGAAGTTCCAACTACCAATCATGGGGCAAGGCTACGAGAAGAGCATTATTGACAAAGAATACATTGAATTTCATCATTTCTAATGGCACCAAATGAGAGTCATGCAAATTTTGAAGCATGGGATATATGCAATGAAGTTTTAATCTCATGGATAACTGAAACCTTAAGTCTTCAAATAACAATGTTGCCTACATTGACAATGCAAAATTCTTTGAGAAGACTTTTGAGAGGAAGTTTTACCAAGGATGATCACTCTGGGGTTTGAATGTATGCCAACTATTAACAAAGTCTTCTCTCAGTTTGCAAAAAGGACAAGTTACAGTAAATGTTGAGGAAAATCCAAAGGTCATGGTTGATTCTCTAGACAGCCGGAAACTTCAAAGCAATGAAAGAGAAAAAGGAAGGTGCCAAGGTTATGGACTTAACAAACAATGCAAATATTGCAATAAAGAGGGACCCAGTAGCGCCTTGCTTATTTGAAAAGGGCTTCCTCCTGGATACAAGTCTAGGAATCACATTGTTAACAACTTCAGTGCTAACAAAGGATCAAGCTCACAATAACCTCAAGGGAATGCCTTCAATAATTCAAATAATACCAAACATTAAGTTAAAAGGGACCAACTCAGTCCAAAACAAGTGAAGCAACTACTTAGCTTGTTACAATAATCTCAAATCTCTTGGTCATATAGTGTTAGCGAAGGCAGTCCCAACTCTTCATTTGTTGGTGAGTCATATACTCAACAACAACACGCAACAAGCCAATTAGGTAATTCCAAATAAAACATCCATTAGTGGATCCGTGATACCAGAGTCAAAGATCATGTCAAAAACAATAAATCCTATTTGGATAGCTTCCATGATGTTAAACCAATCAATGTACTTCTGTCAAATAATTCCATAATTTCTACCTAATACTCAAACAATCTTCTTTTCAAGTCATTTTTAACTCTTTAATATCTTGTACATAATAAAGTTTACATTTAACATCATATCTATCCAACAATTTATTTTCACTTTGCATTCTAAATTATCCTTCTTCAGTCTTTATCATTTTCGGGATGTTCCTAAATTGACGACGATTAGGCTTTTTGACAAACACAATGGACTCCATAATCTTGGAGAACCAAAAGTGCCTTGTAACTCACATTTCTCTGTTCTAACACATCTTTTGTTCATATTTCTCAATTCAAAATTTGTCATTTGATTTTTGGCATTAAAGACTTAGCCACCTTTCCAATAAGTGACGGGGCAGCATTATCCATATGTCAAATATATGAATAATAGAGTTTGTGATAGTTATCATTTTGCAGAACAACAAAACTTGTCTTTCTCTCCTCTAGCTTATATTTTGCAAAACAACCTTTTGATTTAATCCACATTAATAATTGGTATCTATTTTCCGTTTTTCCTTGTGAAGACACAAGTATTTTCCAACTATAATTGATGATCATACAAGACAACACATGGTTGTTCCTTACGAAAGCCAAAATTAAGACTAGGAAATTATTACAGGACTTTCAGATTTTTTGTCAAAACTAAATTTCAAGCATGCAATAAGATTGTAAAATCAAATAACGGCGTGGAGTTTGAAAGCCCCGATTTTATGAAAAATTTGGGACTAAACATAAAACTTCTTGCATTGAAACTCCAAATCAAAATTTTGTACTTGAAAGAAAGCATGAGTATATATTGAATGTTACAAGAGATTGCTTTTTCATTTACATTTTCACATTTATATAAATGTTTAAGATCATTTGCTATTGCACGTGTACACTATAAATAGGACACATGCACCAATTCTTCACAACACTATTTGAGCTTATGAAATCAACAAGACCCACTTTGTTAGAGTTTAAAGTTTTTGGCTCACTTTTTATTTTGCCTCCACTTTGGAATACCACCTAACCAATCTTTACCCTAGATCACTAAAACGCATTTTCATTGGTTTTAAAAGAGGAAGAGAAGGTTATATGGTTTTCAACTTGCACACTAGGGAAAATTCTCATTTCTATAAATATTGTGCTCAAGAAAGCATTTTTCCTGATCCACAACTTTACCAATCCAATTCTACTAATTCTGCTAATATCAATCAATCTACATTCACTTATTTCAATTTCCACTTAACCCCGCACCTCAGTTTTCCCGAACTTCAAATCATGATACAACCACCATTCATATCCATCATTGCCTGGCACACAATCTGAATCATTCTATCAACTAATCATCTGAAAACAACTTTCCTTCATTTGAAATTGTTGACCCATTATGAGAAAATCAATCAGTCTTTTCAAGGCTCCTGATTATGTCAAAGAGTTCCATTGCTATTATTTGAAACCAACAAGCTCACCATCATCTTCACATGCAGGTTTTCCTTCATGTCCTCACCTTAAATATACACTAGCCATATCAAATGACACTGAACCACAGTCCTATAACCAAGCTGTAAAATTTGTTGACTAGATAACTGCCATGAAGACAAAGTTGAAATCTTTTGAAACTAATCATACATGGTATCTAACTGAACTGGCATAAGGTAAATTGGTTAGTGGGTCTCCTAGATTAGGTACAAAGCTAATGTTATAGTTGAAAACGAGGCTCACAGTTGCAAAAGCCATATAAAATCAGAAAAATCTCCTAAACAAATAAGTGGGACACAACATAAACAAAGGGGTAAAGTGAGGGGTTTATCCCTGATTAGAGTAGTGAGTAGAAACTTCAAATACATGATAGCGGCTGTGATTTTCAATGATAGCTAGGTATAAGGATCGCTCCAAGAAAATGTGATGCGATGAGCTTTAAGCATCTTGGGAGATCAATCAATTACCATGCCGACTTCATAGCAGCACATAATGCTGTTATTAACTGCCCTAGAACCTCGTATCTAATTGACATTATTCACACCTTAATATATCCAATTTCGCATGGGGTGACCCAAGTAACAGGTCATGGTATGCTCCTATTAACTACCCTAAAACCTCATTTAAATTACATTATTAACATGGTAATGTATCCAAGTTAGCACACCCTAATGACTACAAAACAAAATAAGGCTTGAGGTGAAAAATATAAAGGATTATTTAGAAAAACAGATCTCACACAAGAAACAGAATTTGAAGGAGGGAGGGGGGACCGAGCCAACTAACCAGTCTTCTGAGGAGTAACAAATTTTGTCTTCTTCACAGGAACTGATATTTTCTTAGAAGAGTCAATAATTCGCTTATTGCCCCCTTCAATCTATATGAGAAAAAGAAATGGAAATCAAATTCAAAGCCAACCACAAAAATGAAACACAGTATAGTCCCTCCTTACCTTCTTGGGTGTCTCCTCCTCCTCCTCTTCCTCCTCCTCATCATCATCCTCATCCTCTTCCTCTTCCTCTTCCTCATCCTCACTACTTTCTATGACACCATTTGCTGTGGGCTAAACAATATATTCTCACAGAAAAATAACAAACTTAAATATCAATCATTAAAATTCTCCTTCAATCCAATATCCACTAATTAAAATAGCAAGCCCAAACCAGATTAAACAATATAGAGAAGGAACACAATGCCCCTGATATGATTACCACTTACGAATATGTCGAATAGAAAGCATATTTCAAGATCTTACTACGACCAAACAGTTGACAACTCTTATCATGATGGGTTGGATAAATAATGAGTAAATGATTATGAGGACAAATTGGACAACAGTCAAAAATGAACTAGAATAATCATCAATAATATTCACAATGAACACAAGAAAACCAAAATGGATGAGTAAATATTTATGAAAAAACAAAGGAGTGCTTTACTGTCATACAATAAGTTTCTCTCATACCAAGAAATGACATTGTCATGCACTTTTGTTACAAAAATTTACATTTCTTATGTATCCCTTTATCTGCCCAATCAATACAATTTAGGATTTGAATTTTTTAAAACATATCATTTAATTAACAGCAGCATAAAAATTAGATACCATCCAACAAGTCATGCTAGAGTCAAGTCCATCAGCAGTCTATTATAAAGTGATTTACTAGATTATACAAATACCTTATCTTCTCTTGAAT